TAAGTTCGCACTCGGTCATTGTTTATCCTGGAAAAGTGACGATTGAACTCCGCTAGACGATAAGACTTAGCTGCCCTTACAAAATACCCCAATATCGGATCCCGCTGCTTCAACTTAAATGAGGCTTTGATATTGCCTTTCAAGTGATAAAAGCAAATACCATGGCTTGCCCCAGGAAAAACTCTACGCAACCCATTTTGTATGCTAACATTGCGATCTGATATGACAACGAGATTCGAGCAATCACCAATTGCACAATGTAGTTTTCTCAAAAACCACTCCCAAGCTGCATCCGTCTCCAAATCTCCAATCCCAAAGGCAATAGGATATATGTTCCGATTTCCATCAAATGCGGTCGCAACAAACAAAACACCTCTATACTTGCACTTCAAATGAGTAGCATCAACAGCAATCACGGGCCGCATTGACGACTTAAATCCTCGTATGCATGCACCAATTGCCATAAAAAATATAAGAAGTGATCAGCTGCATCAGTCTCAATGTATGTCAAAGTTCCCGGATTTGTACGCTCCAATTCATAACAATAGGAAGGGAGAAGGGAATACGACTCTTCTGCAGACCCTCTAATTCTTTTGAAAGCTAACTCTCGGCTTCTCCACGCTGTAGAGTAGCTTATGCTCACACCGAAATTTTGTTTCACATCTTTCTTGATATCAGCTGCTGTATAAATGCTGCGCGAATCCTGAAATCTCCACTTAACACAGTCAGACAGCAGTTCAGTCGTAGCTTGAGGATGATGACTACTTATATACGTTATATCACATTCATGAAGTGGATCGTATTTAACAACCTTAAACTCATGTAATCCAACTTTATATGCCCGAACTTTCCAAGGGCAAGGAAGCTGCCAACAGCGAACACACAACCGATGCTTCCCAGATTGGACAGTTCTCAATCGAAAGTGGCCTGTAATAGCTGCTAAACTGATGGTTTTTAAAAGGGCAATCTTATTTGGATAAACTCGGCCAACCTTCAAATTTGCTTCCCAATTTATGCACGAAACGCCTCCACCATACTGAATATATTCCAAACTCTGACCATGCTTCAAATCACCCCGACTTGTATGCATTTCAGTCGAACTTGATTGTCGGGGAGGTTCGGATTGCACCTGTCTACACTGCACAGTGGACGGTTCGACATTGCTGTCCTCATGAGGATGCAGAATCGGAGCAGACTGCGGTTCCTCTTCGTTGCTAGGTTCATTGAAATCAGCAACTATGTTTTCACCACTTTCAAAATTCACTTCTTCAACCCAATCACTCCAATTAAAATCATTCCCACCATTTTCAGTTTCATTGTCCCGAATTACCACATTTCTTTGTTCCACAACAAAGTCAGCAGGAGCATTGCTACTCTCAACGCTTACAATGCCATTGCACCCTTCAATACCATGACCTTCAATATTTTTCAAGCTTGCTACTAAAGGGGTTACTTTAGAGGCCATAACATCTGTGTTGTACTTTACAAAATATTTAACATCATCATTGTCTTCAACCCTTATATGCTTACAGACAGATGAGGATACAGGAACTGAATATTTCAGTGTGACAATATATTTCGTGGGATCTGCATCCATGATCTTATAAATGCGCTGAACAAGGTCGGAAAACGTTACATTCCGTGACACTATTATGCCTTTAGCCTCCCCACCTTCGTAACTCTCAATGTTATCCTTCTTAACCCAACTTCCATTGTAGCATACCAATATTCCAACAGTATCCATTTCTGCAAATAACATACATAATTACTACAGCAATGAATAAAACTAAAAAAGATACATTCAAACAAATAAAAACATACCACTACACGTATCATTTTATAAATCTTCCAAACTCAAATTCTAGCTGCTTCAACAAGGAACTTTTATTCATTTATGTCTTTTCTCTGATTTTGTACATAGCTGTGGGTTCCAAGTTATTCACAAACTCACATAAACATACCATGGCAGCAATATGAACCCTCTAACCTCTAAGGGTTTTCAACAAATGTAAACTACTTCAACAAAAGGCTCAGGTTGTGATACAGAACATATTATGTGGTATAAGCTCAATTACCAAATTGGAAACCAAAACACACAAACTTTACTTCTTACCAAAACAAACCCAGAATGCCAATAAATTCCCCACATTAGCATATACATTCAGCTTAAAAATACCCTAACAAACCTACTTTTAGGCCAGACAAAGTTAACATATGATTTTTCTGTGTGCTGTTATTTTGCCCATTATCAAACACATTGCACTACATTATACAAGCATTCCGTCAATTTTAACCAAAATTCAAGTTTACCACATACATCCCACTGCAGATAATAACACAAACTATGAATTTCAACATATCATAACGCCTTGAAACTGAAAATTTAAGCTCTTCTGCCCTTCTGTGGTGAAAAGGGGATGCACGATTTTATAATACACATACACTACCAAACCAATATCTGAACTCACCTCCGTTCACAACGACGCCGGAAGTCGCCACTTTCGCTTCTCCGTGGAGTCGCAACAGTCACTTCGATCTGGAGGTCAACAATGGAGGCGGTGCGTTCCGCCGGCTTCGCTACGGTCAAACTAGGGTTCGAAAGTTTAGGACATCTGGGTTGTGACTATGGATGGGTTGCGAACTGGATTGCTCAGTGCCAAAATGTCTCGCAACCTAGAGTTCACCCATTTTTGCCAAACTGCGAAAACAGAGAACAAAGAGCCGCTATGCCAAACTGCGAAAACACAGAAGAAAGAGGCGCTAACATCTGCTTTTATATGGAGGGCACTTCGGTCATTTCACGTCCCCAAGTGATTATATTAGAATACAATTTGTAGCCTGATTATTTCAGCACACTATTTCTAAAAGCTGATTACACCAGCATATTTCCCTTGATTCTTAGCCACTACAACAAATTTTTCCGGGGCCAAACTAAATTTGTATGATACAAATTACAATGTTGGCCCAAAATGTATCAATTTATAAGTTAGTTTATATACTCAAAACAGAAATATTTGTAAAACTAGTTTACCTATCCTGTATTAGATAGTTGATAAATAAATAAATAAATAAATAAATAAAATTCCCGTATTAGATATAGGAAGGTTGTAAAAATAATGTCCAATGAAAATCAATAAAGAAAAATTAAGATGTAAAAATATTAAGAATATAGTGAATGGGCTAATTACGGTTTATGAGCGTGATGTTGTAGGAGATAGTTGTAGGAGCTAGTATGGTTGGTTTCGTTGTAACTGGATCAATTAAGAGAAGCACTATTGATGACTAGCGAGTAGAATATTGATCTAAATCTTCCTGGAGCTTCTCGATAATTTCGTCCTGCTCACTAATGGTCTCTGCGAGTCTCCTGTTCTCTTCCTTGAGCATCTCAAACTGGCGAACAATACTTTGAATCTGCGCTTCAATGGCCTCATCACTCAACTCAAAAGCACTCTCTACAACCCTAACAACACGCCACAAACTCACCACAACAAGCAGCCCCCCTCCCTTCCTCTCAAAAAAAGCTTCTAAAACCAGCGCACCCATCAAAACGACGCCGTCAATGACGTAACCGGGACGCCTCCGGAGAAACGTACGCATGCCAAGCCCCACAGCTTGAGCCACCGTCTTCGCCGAAAGCAGGGCGAGGATAGCAATGCCCACCCAGTGGTACCAAATTTCTGGTGTGGTTTTTTTGTTCTTGTTTGGTGAGTTGTTGCACTTGGTTACCAAAGATGAGGAGAGTTCGAGGATGGTGAGGATGAGATCTACAATGAGGAGGGAGATAGAAATCGCATGGATTGGTGTGGACTCTAGAAAATTGGCCAAGTGGGTTCTCCATGGGGCTAAATTTAGGTCTTGAAATTGTGTGGAATTATTATTATCAAACCAAAAAAACCTGTGCCATTGCTGCCTTCTATGCCAGCTCCTTGTGAGGCTTTGGATTGAGGCTTCAATGGATTCAATAGAGAATGAGTTGGTGGTGGTGGGAGGCCCAGGTTGTTGAATTTGAATCTGAGATGAGGCAATTTTCATTATTGATTTTGGAAATTTGGAGTTTTAAGTTTGTGTTTTTGGTTTTTTGGGGTTTGATTTGGTGCTTTTATGTGTGAAGTGCAAGCTTGGAGTTGATGATATGCTTTGGAGTAACGTTGAATGAATGCCATGCTGTGCAGTGAAGTTGTATTGCATGTGTCACCATTGGAGATGCGTTAAGCATCAAATCAAACCACCTCCTCACCTTTTTTCTATACTCATTTCTGTCAAATGAACTGAAGCCCTCGTTAAAGAAAAAGGCTTCACCAAATAGACCAAACCATAGAGAGAGATATATATAATTTTAATATATTCTTACATGTATTACCTAGTATTAGAATTTGAAATATTGTTAAGTAATTATTTTTATTTTTATTTTTATTTTTTGTAATTTTAATAAATTATTTTTTCATATGTGTTAAATTGTGATTTTCAAGAGAAAAAATGGCTTTTTGGTGTTAAATTGTGATTAGTTTGAAATTTGAGTTTCTAACTTTTAAGGAGTCGAGCTTTTTCATTCCTCCTTTAAAAGCCTAACTTTCATTTAAAGACCACCCAAAAAAAATATTTACGGTACTCCTTTAATTTTTATTTTACTTTTGAATTTCTGTCTTTTGAAATTTGAAATTTAACAAGTGTCAAAATTCTATTTGTTGTGAGACACCTCCTTATTTCCCATCCCATGTGTTGCAAGTAAAAATAAGAAACCCTTTCTCAACAGTTCTTCTTTTTTCTCCCAATAGTACGCCTGCCTTCGAAAGCTCCATTCCTGTTTACCAGGATCCTGGAACCATTCCTTGATTGATTGAAAATCACGAGTCGAATTTCCCAAACCCGTATTTTCCCAGTGAATCAAAGCCTCCTCCTCCTCCATTGAAACACATGCAGAGCTCAAACTTAAAACTCCCAAACAGCAAATCAGGAAAGAACGCTACCCAGACAAATCGTTTTATACAGTAAGGCGCAAAATGTTTGGTATTTCGTACGGAGAGCTCTTCCTCTTGATCGGAGCCACGGCTGCTCTAGTCGGTATACACCCACTCTCTCTCTCTCTCTCTCTCTCTCTCTCTCTCTCTCTCTCTCTCTCTCTATTTTGTGTTTATCTCAAAAGAAAAATGCTTTATACTCCAATTTTTCTCTCAATCTTTTTCTGACTTAGGCATGGGATGGAACCTAATGTTTGGGTACCCATGTGAGAGAGTTGGGCTGTTATAGCTGTAGCATTTTCATTGTCCGCATTGGTTCAGAATTTTTCTTTGCCAAGGTCAAAACTTGGGTAATTTTATTGGAAATATTGACTGAAAAAGTGAACTGGGTTTGATGTTTAATGGGTTGTAAATTGTAGGACCAAAGGATTTGCCTAGAATTGCTAGAACAGCAGGGAGGTTAGCGGGTCGGTCAATTGGGTATGTTCAGTTAGCTAGAGGTCAATTCGATAATGTTATGCAGCAGTCTCAAGCCCGCCAGGTACATTTTCTAATTACTTAATTAATGATAATTATCATTCTATCGTCAATTCTTTGTGAGCTAACATGCGTTGTGCACAATGGGGTAATGATTAGAATTTCATTGTCCTTGAACCAAATGATTTATCTGTTCATTTATGCCCCGTGCTTGACCTTTAGGTTCATAAAGAACTTCAAGATGCACTTGCACAACTAGAGTCGATTCGTTATGAAGTCCGGAGTATATCACTTATGAATCCCGGTCCTATGGCTCGAAGGCTGATGGATAATCCTCAGGACCCGGCTCCTCTGAGTGATGGTAGTATTCTTAGCAGCCATACATTGCTGCCAAGTAATGTTTTGCTTCTCTCCTAACTACCAGTTTATATGTTTTCTTTTTAGGGGCCAACAGTTCACTTGAGAAGCCTAAGGAGGAGCTGAAGTCAAGAAATCCTGTGGTGAAGGTTTGAATAACACATTTCTTCGTATAAATGGCTCACGTTGCATCATCTTGAATTCCTTATACATATCTTTGACAGGATGATACTTTCAGAACCTCAGACTCACCTAATTTGCATAGTCAAGCAACTGCGTATGCAAAGTTGGCTGAATCTGATGCCGTGAAGACTGGCTCTTTGAAGAGCAGTGCAGAGCAAGAAAACCTTAAAGATGAAAGTGGTCTTTTCGTTGCCCTCCCAATTTCAGCTGAAAGCACTGGGATGCTACCAAATCGCAAAGGTTATAATCTTCTTGAGTTACGACACTTAATGATGTTATCATTTAGTTTACTTTGTTGTCTCAATTTGGGAACTCAGCTGGGAGCTGCCAGGAATGGACATTTCCTTTTCATTATCTTGAGGAACAACAAATATTTAAATTTTCTCGAGTACACTACTTAATTTTCTGTATCGCCTTCATTATCTTTGATTATAGAGGTCATGAATGTGTGTTCTGCACATATATTATGGTTTTCATATCAATGTTGTCTTTACTAGCCATTTTTTACGTGTGCCTTTGTATAATTGGTCAACAAAGGTATCGCTCATGCCCTTAGTCTAGTTGTGTATGATTTCCCCTATATAATTGGTTTCTATTGAAGGTAACTGTATCTGGATTGTTCAGGCTTCACTTGGTGGGCTTTTGGCTTAAACATGTCATAGGAATACTCTTGAAATAATGTTTGGAAATACAATCCTTGATTGCATAGTATGAAAACTCTTCCACATTAAATTATTTCTATAAACCTATGTTCTGACACACACAAATATTGTTCCAATGTATAACTGAACATGCCACAACTTTTCCAAAGAATTCGCAAGTAGTTTTGCTTTTCATCTTAGATATATATGTCCAAATAAATAACCAGTGGTTGTGATGGCAGAGAATGTTAAGGGATCAGACATTGTGTTGGAAGCAATAGTTGAAGCAGAGGTAGCACGTAATGCCAAAGATTTCTTTTCACAGCCTGAAAATCAAATACAGTGAACTGAAAAGGTGACGATACTTTTATTTATTTATTTACAATCTTCATCACTCTGTTTATAATTGGGTATGTTTAGTGTTAAATAACAAATACATAAGTGAAGAAGGTTTATGTTAGGGGAACTTTTTGTTTGGTTGATGATAAAATCGAACAAGGTTTATGTTACTACTCAAAGATGTAAAACTACTGGAGATCCTTAAGATCTTTTTTTTTCTTGCATTGGGACCAATGAGAATTGTTACATAGAAAGCAGTTTATTGTGATGGATAAATTTTGTTCACATTTTTAAATGGTTGGTGTATTAATATGTGGGGATGTTTATGGTGTAGGGGGTAAGGGCAGGAGAATGTGTGTGAGCCAATTTGTTTTTGGCTATGCATATCAACACATGCTAGTTTTACAATGCTAGCTCAATTGCTGGCATTATTTGCTGGTGAAAATGCAACATGATTGGCTTCAATTTCCCTTAGGTGGTGTTTGATTCAAAGGAATTAACTGCAATGGAATGCAATCATTGCTATTGAAAGCTCCATTACAATGTTCGTTTTGGCAATATGACTCTTGAGAGCCCATTCCTATAACTGTTGGTGGACCATTTCCAAAATAAAATGGGTGGAAAGCCCGTTCGAACATGACGCCCATTGGATGCCAACACCTCAAGCTCTGGGAGTTCCCTTCCGTGGTTTTCACTTGTCGGTCTCTCACCTCAAGCTCAACCAGTTCACTTTCCATTTGTATTTTGAAGACCTGATCAACAGGATTCTTTAACCAACAGACTCTGAAACCAGTCTACAGAATGATATTAGTTTCTAGATTTTAGTCTATAATTCTTGTTCTGTTGCAGATAAGTCTTTGATCAAGCATGTATAATATATATATATATCATCCCTGTAAAGAACACCAATATCATATTGAGTTATTAATGTAATCTACAAATTTGCCATTCCTTTGTAGAAATAATGAAGGTATTATAAACTGTAATGTGATATGATTTGTCACATTTTATGGCTGTGATCTGTTTCTGAATGCCTTTCATATTATTCCTTGGATTTTTTAGAGGTAAAAATGTCCAAGTTCATTTGCTTTTCCTGTCAAGATTTCGGGGTCAAAATGTCCGCCCACGTTGTCCATACTTCTCTAACCTCTCTCCTCCCATTTTCTTAAGTTCACATTTACCCCTTCCAACAATAGACTTGAGACCAAAGTGACAAATCGAATGTTTGAGGATGTAAAATTTAGCTAAAATAAAGAGGGAAAGCAGTAATAATTCAAAGTCCATAATTGCACTACATTTTACTCGTATTTAAATAATGGTTAATTACACTTTCCACCATTCTGATTTCGATCCTTTAACAATTTAGTCCCTCATTTTTAAAAAAAAAAAAAAAAAAAAAAAAAAAAATTGACAACCAACTTTACAAATTGTCACACCATTGATCCCTTCTTTTATCTTACTATAAAGTCACACGTTATTCTAGTGAGTCCATGTTTTTCTTACATTGCATAAAAACCTAGTTAATGTCAGATGAATTAAAATATGCCATATCGACAATAAGTAAGAATACTTTTCGAAAGCCAATGGAGTATTACTCAGTTGGTTAAGCTATTCCACCTCCACTTATGTGAGCATAGACCCACATCCCAGGCACTCAATAAACATTTGTCAAAATCCCTCTTCCTCAATGGCTTGTACTAAAAAAAAAATTCTTTTAAATAAACCTTAATCTTTTGTGTATATAGAGTAGGGGTGGGCATTCATACCAGAAAATTGGAAAATCAAGCTGAATTGAGCTGACTAAAAATGGGACCAAACTAGTTTTGTTTGGTTCCAATTCTGGTTCTTATAGTGAAAAAACCAGACCAGATGTGTATTTTTAATAAAATATTTAACCCTAGTACTAAATTTCTAAGCCCATAACTAATTTTTTCCCAAGCCCAATATCAAATCACTTATCTTTTATAAGCCCAATCATCTCCCTTTATATAAAATTGAGCTATTTGTGAATTTTTTGTTAGAATCAGACTGAATGAATAGTGTTGGTTTCCATTTGGGGTGAGGACTGGAGGAAAAAATTATTCTGCCATATGTCACTTCAGAAATATTTCTGAAGTGACGGACAGAGTTTGTAGTTTTAAATGATTTGTGCCTTTTTTTTGGTGAGAAAATTTTGTTCAATTTTTCTAAGACAATGACATTGTTTTTTAATTTTATTTTTTAGGAAGACAATGACATTGTTAGGGGAGGAGGCACTAAACTACAAGAGTGCAAAATGTAATCTAGGCTTAAATTTATGCTCCAAAGTCCAATAACTTTGTTTGACTTGTTCTATCCCATCTTGACCCGCTGCTGCCTTCGCTCGACTGAAGGAACATTCCACTCTCTCTATTTGCGCGTCATTGCGCTATTGGGAGGGAATAAATCCTTCGTCAGGCTGAAAGAACATTCAACTCTCTCTCCATTCGGTCAAATGCTCAATAACATCAATGCAAACGCACTCCCTTACGCAATCCAATTTCCCTTTAGGCTTCACCTACCACTCCGCATCAGATAGAGATATCTTTATATATAGAAACTAGTGAGAAGCAAGAGGCATTATCAGTCCTTCACTAGGCTGCTTCAGTTCAGAAAACACAGAAAACCACAGTTCCAAAATGGCAGAAGGAGTGAGGAGGATCAAGTTGGGTTCACAGGGCCTTGAGGTCTCGGCTCAAGGCCTGGGCTGTATGGGCATGTCTGCCTTCTATGGGCCTCCCAAGCCCGACGCAGACATGATCAGTCTCATCCACCATGCCATCGACTCCGGCGTCACCTTCCTCGACACCTCTGACATCTACGGTCCCTTCACCAACGAAATTCTGCTTGGCAAGGTAAGCCACTAACCTTGACTTTGCTTCTTAATAATCGCTCTTAATTTGTATCAATTGTCTTTTGGGTTTGTTTGGGATTTCAAATTGGATGACTTGATGATGATGAACTACATTGGGTTCTGTTCACTCTTGTTCTTGTCTTTAAGTTACTAAATCAAGCACAAGCACAAGCACTGAGAGAGACAATAATTTGTAAAATTGCTTTATGGGTTTTGTTGTATTGTTGAATGGGATGAAATAATGATGAAGTGAATTGGATTGTGTTCACTATTGTTCCTGTATTTAAGTTACTAAGCCAAGAACAAGGACTGAGAGAGACAATGATACACATAATTGCTTTTTGGGTTTTGTTTAGATTGTTCAATTGATTGTAATTGATGATGATGAAGTGACTTGGATTTTGTTGGATTGATGAGGAACAGGCTCTGAAGGGTGGGGTACGGGAGAAGGTTGAATTGGCCACCAAATTTGGTATCAGTTTTGCTGATAACAAGAGGGAGATTCGAGGTGACCCTGCCTATGTGAGAGCTGCTATTGAGGGTAGTTTGAAGCGCCTTGGTGTTGATTCTGTTGATCTCTATTATCAGCATCGGATTGATACTCGCGTCCCCATTGAAGTCACGGTTTGTTTTCTTCTCTCTTGAATTTTGATCTCTTTTTAATTACAATCGCAGAGATACTTGATAATATAGTTTCCATTGAATTGAGAAAACAAGACATGTGTGTTTAGTAAGAATGGTGCTCGAGGGGGACTAATTGGAATTAGTAACTATGCATCTGCCAGTCTATTGAAGTCATGGTTATTCAAAGATCTACAACATCTTCTATCATTTTATTAGTTCTCAATTTTATCAATTCCACATTCAAATTCGTTTGTGTTCTACGAAGTAGAAGTATGGTTTGACCACATCTCTTTTGGATTGGAACCCCTTTTTTAGTTCCATTTTCTAAACTAATTTGAGTTGTTCAAGCGTGAAAAGGTTGTCATTGATGAATGTAGGGAGATTCTCCAATAAGTATTTAAGTATTGGTTCCATATTTCTAATCTTGGGCGTTGGATTGCATCTAAGAGACTACCAACATATTTAATGAAGGCAATCCAACGGCCAAGATTAGAAGTTTGTAACCAATCCTTAACATAAAATACTTATTGGAGAATCTCCTAATGAGTGTATTTTCATATCTTTAAGCATCAAGTGATGATGAACTAGTTATAAAAGTTTGAATTACTTTTAGTTATTTATCAACAATTTCAGATGATGGTTTGTGTAAATCTTCTTACTGATTTTAACTGAAAAATATTTCATCTTGATTTTTTCTTTGTTTGACCCTCAGTTATTATCTTTATCATATGTCTGAACTTTGCACTGGATATAGGAGAAATTTGTATTTTATACCTCTAGAGTCCAGATCTTTTACATTTTGAATCTTGAATTAAGCAAGTGTTTTGGAGATTAACATGATTGAGCACTAGGTTCTTTTGTATCTATTTAAGTGCATACATCGTATCTAAATTAGTCAAATTACACAAACTTTAGCATAAATTTCTTGTAGGCTGTAGCTATGCTACTTTCCTTATATACTTGACTGTTAGTATTATTCTTTTTTGTACTGGCATGCGTCATGATTCACTTATTTTGAGAAATGCATGTCACTCCTTAAATTCCTTTATCATGTCATTTACAAGGTTGGGGAACTCAAGAAACTAGTTGAAGAAGGTAAGGTAAAGTACATTGGCCTATCCGAGGCCTCTGCTTCCACAATAAGAAGAGCACATGCTGTTCATCCAATAACAGCTGTGCAGTTGGAGTGGTCATTGTGGTCAAGAGATGTGGAGGAAGATATAATTCCTACTTGCCGGTGAGTCTTTAATGGAACTAACTGATTTGTTTATAAAGTAGGTAAAATTTCATGCTAATCTCATTTTTTGATTTTCCCAGGGAACTTGGCATCGGCATTGTTGCGTACAGTCCTCTAGGAAGAGGATTCTTTTCATCAGGAGCTAACTTGGTCGAAAATCTTCCCAACGATGATTTCCGAAAGGTATGTTGATATGCCAAATAGATATTTATTTTCAAGTGCACAAGTGCATGCACATTAGAGAAAATTAGTAGCATAGTGAATGTCCTTCTAT